CTATCTTAATGCTTGGGGGATTAGATGAAATACAGACATACACTCATATATATGTTCAAATACACATATGTCTTGTCAACTCTGGGTCTGTGTTGGGATTACTCTTTTCTCCATTTAAAATTCCCAAATAGGGGTCTGGGTGCGGTGACTCATGCCTGTAATCCCAGCACTTTGGGAGGCCAAGGCAAGTGGATCACTTGAGGCCAGGAGTTCAAGACCATCTTGGCCAACATGGAGAAACCTCATCTCTACTAAAAAGACAAAAATTAGCTGGGCATGGTGACACATGCCTGTAGTCCCAGCTACACGGGAGGCTGAGGCGGGAGAATCTCTTGAACTGGGGAGGCAGAGGTTGCAGTAAGCTGAAATCTCCACACTGCACTTCAGCCTGGCAACAGAGCTAGACTCCGTATCAAAAAAAAAAGAGAGAGAGAGAGAGAAATAGTTATTTCCTCGTAGAATGGCTGAAGGAATTTAATGGAAGTAGAGGTGAAAGCTGTCATTAAAAATGTAAAATGGGGCTGGCATGGTGACTTACACCTGTAACATTAGCACTTTGGGAGGCCGAGATGAACAGATATCTTGAGGCTAGGAGTTCAAGACCAGCCTGGCCAACATAGCAAAACCCAGTCTCTACTAAAAATACAAAAATGAGCTGAGCGTGGTGGCCTGTAGTCCCGGTTGCTGGGGTGGCTGAGGCATGAAAATCGCTTGAACCCAGAGGCAGAGGTTTCATTGAGCCGAGATCGCACCACTGCACTCCAGCCTGGGTGACAAAGTGAGACTCTGTCTCAAAAAATACCCAAAAAACAAAACAAAACAAAAAATGTAAATGGAGGGCTTGGAAGGAAATTGTTTACTTATTCTTTGTGACTTTAAAGGGTAGAACTAGTCCACATAGATCAAAGTTACATGGAAATAGGTTTGGATGCCCTATGAGGGAGAACTTAAGAATGATCTAGGCCAGGCGCAGTGGCTCACACCTGTAATCCCAGCACTTTGGGAGCCTGAGGCGGGCGAATCACCTAAGGTCAGGAATTTGAGACCAGCCTGGCCAACATGGCAAAACCCCATCTCTACTAAAAATACAAAAATTAGCTGGACATGGTGGTGCATGCCTGTAATCCCAGCTACTTGGGAGGCTGAGGCACGAGAATCACTTAAACCTGGGAGGGGGAGGTCACAGTGAGTGGAGATTGCGCCACTGCCCTCAGCCTGGGTGACAAAGTAAGACTCTGTCTTTTAAAAAAAAAAAAAAAGGCGGGGGGCATGATCTAAAAATGGAGGCATCATCATTTAATAGTTTTTAAATAGTTGTAATACCTAGATTGTTTTTGTTTTCTAATTGTAGAATACCTATTTTAGCTTATGCTCTACTAAGCCTTATTTATTTCAAAATCAATGTCCAGTTTCTTCCCCCACCCCGTTTTTTTTAAAGGTTGTTAAGAATTTGTTGTTCGTAGCCAAAGTCTTGTATTTACTGGAACCTTATTGTGAGGATAAGCAAAGTAAGATAAAAGAAGACCTGGAAGAACAAGAAGCTTTAGGAGATGGCATGGCCTGTGCAGATGAGAAGGCAGAGTCTGACGGAGAAGAGAAGGAAGAGGTGAAGGAAGAGCTTGGCAGGCCGGCCACGCTGCTGTGGTTGATCCAGAAGCTGTCCCAGATCGCAAAACTGGAAGCTGCTTATTCACCGAGAAACCTCTTAAAGGTGCGATGAATGCACAGAATGACTGAGAGTAGTCATTTCTCCTTAAAAAGTATTTTAACGGTATTAGTGATCCTAAGTCCCTAGAAACTTTACCTTTGAACCCTAAACTGCAGCAATAACATCCATCCCAAAATAGACTGAGCCCTGTTTTCTAAATTAATGCTGTGTCTATGATTGAGTGCTAAAGATAAATATTTCAAATGAAAAAAAATGATCTGTATTTTCAGAGAACATGCATCTTTAAGTTCCTCGGCGCTGTAGCAATGGATCTTGGGATAGACAAGGTAAAGCCATATCTCCCAATGATCATAGCTCCTTTGTTTCGAGAACTGAACAGCACCTACTCAGAGCAAGGTAACCCTGCCTCGTCTGTTCTCCTGCCTTTTGCAGGATTTCTAACTTCTCCCCTGAATGTTTCCTTCTTCCTTTCTGTCCTCCCTCCCTGCCAGAGATTTATTTTTATTTTTATATATTTTTAAATTATATATTATATACTTGTATATGTTTATATTTTTATATACACACACACACATAAATTAAAAAAGAGAGAGAGATGAATAGTGGTCTCACTATGTCATGCCAGGCTGGTCTTGGTCTCAAACTCCTGGCCTCAAGCAGTCTTCCAACCTCAGCCTCCCAAAGTGTTGAGACTACAGAAGTGAGCTACCGTACCCGGCCAGAGTTTATTTTTAAAAAGAAAACTTATGAGATATCAAGATAATTAACAAACAGATAGGCATATTTGTATTATATTTGATTGCCCTCTTCTGTATGCTTTCTGCTGTCACCAGAAAGAATGTTTCTCACATAAAAGATGATGCCTTATCCTTAACATAGATTAAATAGTCAAAGAAAACTATGGTTCAGGGTGGTTTTAAACCTCATAGCACAATGAATAATAATGAACAATAAAATGGCATTACATTCTCATCTTAAAAATTGTGGGCTGGGCGTAGTGGCCCACGCCTGTAATCCCGCACTGTGGGAAGCCAAGGTGGGAGGATCACTTGAGCCCAGAAGTTCAAGACCAGCCTGGGCAACATGGCAAAACCCCATCTCTACAAAAGATACAAAAATTAGTTGGGTATGGTGGTGTGCACCTGTAATTGCAGCTACTCAGGAGGCTGAGGTGGGAGGATCTCTTGAGGCTGTGAGGTCAAGGCTTCAGTGAGCCGTGATTGCACCACTGCACTCCTGCCTGGGCAACAGAGTGAGACACTGTCTCAAAAAAAAAAATAAAAAAATTATAAGGCAAAAATATAAGTATTATCATTTTTATATGAAATAGTTTTAAAATATCATTTTAACATTTCTTCTTTTTCCTTGCCTGATACATTTCCCTCACGTATTGTAATTGTTGGTAATAACAGGTAAAGAGGGAATTGAAGGCTAGAAGGAGAGGAGGTAAAGTCAATGTTCAGAGTTTAAAAATAAAACAAATGAAGCAAATGTCAAAGCAAGAGCTGTTACAGTCCTACAACCTTGAGAGAAAGTTTCCTCACTCTTCGAAAGGAAAAAGCAATGGTAAAGGTTGAGGCTGCTGACAAAATCAGGTTCAGGTGTGCTTTGGTTCAAGTCAGCCAACATTTAATGAGCACCTAATATCTGCCAGGCACTAGGGATTCAACAGCAGGAAAGTTTTCAAGAAGCTTGTGATCTAGAACAGATGTCCTGAACTCCCGTGAAATTGAAATTGGGGGTGAGTGGCAGAGAAGGGTGGGAGATACAGCTTTTTTGTCAACTGCACAAAGGAGGCTTTGACATCCCCCGCACCCCCCGAAAAAAGGTTACTGTGGGCAGAGCTAAGCCTCTGTGATCCATCATGGATTAGAGAGGGAATCTCTTACTTTTCCCCCTATCTGCAAGAGCTCAGCAGGTAAACAGAGGTAATTCAAAACGTTTCTGTCAAGGTCCCAAGTTACGTTAATGTCTTCAGGGCCAGGTTTCCGCTGGGAAGTGGGCCTCGTGTTCTCTGATTTCTTGTTGCATCCTGGGTGAGGTGGTGGCTGGAGTGCTGTGTCTAGCATTGCTGGTTTCCCCGTCCCAGGAACATAGAGGCTAGTTTTATATCAGTGTTTAATGTTGAAGTAATGGTGATAATGCTGCAAGAGTTTAAATTATTTTTGTTGTTTTATTTGGTTTCTTGCCAGATCAATAGCTGGATATAAATGTTGCACATATTGTTGATTTTGTTTGATTTTGTTGATTCTGTTGATGTTCAAATGTGTCCTTTCCTGTCTTTACTCTGATCATTACTCTTTGTGTGTGATTAGATCCTTTGCTGAAGAATCTATCCCAGGAAATCATAGAATTACTCAAAAAGCTGGTTGGGCTTGAGAGCTTCTCATTAGCCTTTGCCTCTGTACAGAAACAGGCTAATGAGAAAAGGGCACTCCGGAAAAAGAGGAAGGCCCTGGAGGTAAGTTTGCTCTTTGAAAATATGGCATGTTCACTGGACTTGATAACTACTAAGTGTGCATGTTTGTGTCACACACTCAGGGAGGATCAAGGATTTGAGTGGTTGGGGAAAATTTATAGCTGGGGCTTCAGATTTTCTTTAATGAGCATGTGTTTTTCACATTTATGTCTGTATTTGATTCTTATTGGTTTAACATTTACTTTAAAAGTAATATAAAATTTCTATTCTCTTTTCCAGTTTGTAACTAATCCTGATATTGCTGCCAAGAAAAAAATGAAGAAACACAAAAATAAAAGTGAAGCAAAGAAGAGAAAGATAGAGTTCCTGCGTCCAGGCTATAAGGCCAAGAGACAAAAAAGTCACAGCCTGAAAGATTTAGCAATGGTGGAATAATGTCTCCCTGTGCTGATACAAGCATGAACTTTCTGGAATATTCTTCTAGTCAGAAATTACAGCAGGCTGGTGGGGGGTTCCTTTTTTTTTTTTTTTTTTCAAGACAAGGTCTCACTCTGTCACCCAGGGTGGAGTGCAGTGATGAGATCACAGCTCACCGCAGCCTCCACCTGGGTTCAAGTGGTCCTATCACCTCAGCCTCCCAAGTAGCTGTGGCCCCCAGGCACACACCACCATGCCCGGCAAATTTTTTGTATTTTTGTAGAAACAGGATTTCGCCATGTTGGCCAGGCTAGTCTTGAATACCTGGACTCAACTGATCCACCTGCCTCGGCCTCCCAAAGTGCTGGGATTACAGGTGTGAGCCACCGTGCCCAACCAGGTTTTAATTTAAGTTAAACTTTGGATAGGTTGTATAATATATAGTTTAATGTAATCATGCTCATATTTTTTAAATAAATAAAACACTTTATACTACTACTGGGTCTTCACTGTCTAAAAAGCATGTGACACCAAAGAGTTTAAAATATAATTTGTAAATAAAAAGATAAATTTTTAAATAGCAAGAAAAAATGTAGAAGTTAGCAATAATCAGACAAAAGATTTGCAAATACTGCTATACAGTACATTCTAAAATTTTAGGAAAAGGCAGTAAGAAAGATCTGCACAAATAGAGAACTATAACCATGTTTATGGCTAGGAAGATTCAGGACCATAAAATGCTACTTTTTCCCAAGTTGATCCCTTTGGTTAAGTGTGTAAGCAAAATCCCAAGAGTTCTTCACGTTAACCCAACAAGCTGATTCTAAAAATTATATGGAAGATATTAAGTCGAGAATAACCATGACACTCTTACAAAAGTAGAACAGGATGAGGGGCTTGCCCTTTTGGATATCAAAAGTAAGATACAAAAACTATCTATAGAGAGAATGTGTAGTAAATCGTACTTCATTAAGAACTTCTACTTAGGAAAAGACACCAACTGGGACATGGCACACAACACATACTGTTAAACAATTAGTAGTACCAGGACACACAATGAATATTGATGAATCCACACAGACAATCTAGTGGAAAAAGTGGCAAAAGCGAGAAATGAGCATTGCACAAAAGGAGAAACATAAATGGTCCTTAAACACTGTTAGCTGATATGGCTGTGCCATTTTTTTTTTTAAGTATTATGGACTGCTTGGTAAGCAGTCATAACATTGAGACCCCCAAGTGCTACCCTGGCTACATGAAGTTGTTAGATTACATACCTTCTCACACCAGAAGTTAAAGAATACCTGGACTAGTCGGAGTCCTACTGTACTAGCTATGGCTAGTTGTTAAATTGTTTGAGTCACTCCTGTATTGAGCCTCATCAGTAGGAAAATACCAATTATCACCAGAATGAGATTCCATTTTGAAACCATCAGAATGATAAAGCTGACAATACTAAGTGCTGACAAGCATGGTGGAGCCATAGGAAATCTTATAAACCACTTGGGAAAGCAGTTTGACATTATCTTGTAAACCTGAAGACGGTTATACTCCCTGATCCCGAGTTCCACTCCTAGAGAAACCATGAACCATGGATCTGAAGAATGTTCATGAACCATTGCTAAAAGTCAAGATCTAGAAGCAATCCAAATGTCCTTCCACAAGAGAATAAATAAAATGGTATATTCATATACTGAAATACAGTAGCATAAATCAGCTAATTACATATATATCAATAAAGATGATATTCTAGAAACAATGTTGAGTGGGGGGAAAAGAAAAATAGTTGAATACCACTGTAATAAAATTGTGTGTACATATATGATAAATCTGTAGAAAAAAATTAACGATTTCAAAGTTGCAGGATAGAGGGTACTTGTGCGAAGGAACAGAATCAAGGGAGAAGCACACGGTGGGGTTGGGGGACTTAAACTGTCCTCATAATGTTCAATGTCTTACATTTGGTGCCAGATTTCCAAGTTTATAATGCTTCATTACATTACTTTCTGTACATAAAATATTTCCTGATAAAAACATTTTCTAATGTTCGGCCAAAACCACATTTGTACTAAGTTATTAGTACAAAGAAAACAAGTGGTTTCTTTGAAACTTTACTTTTAAGGTTTACTATTTACAACTAAAATGGTAATAAGCCATGCTTATTTAGAGGTGGCTAAAGTTGTTTCTGTTGTTCAACCGTATAGCATCTTTTGCCTCACTCTATACTTGGTGTGGAAGAAATATTCTTTAGTGCCCCACATACTTGGGGACATATGGAGTGGGAAATCCACCCTATGTGCCAGGCACTTTGGATACATTTTGTTTAATCCTAGTATTCCTGGGAGATTCCTACAATTGGTTCCTATTTTACAGATGAAGAAAGTGAGACTCAGAGTAAACAACTTGCCTAAGGGTGATACAGGATGTAGGTGGTACAATCAAGATTCAAAGTCCATGCTTTGAACTGGGCGCGGTGGCTAACACCTGTAATCCCAGCACTTTGGGAGGCCAAGGCAGGTGGATCACTTGAGGTAAGGAGTTCGAGACCAGCCTGGCCAACGTGATGAAACCGTCTCTACTAAAAGTACACAAATTAGCCGGGCGTGGGGGCACAACACCTGTAGTCCCAGCCACTCGGGAGGCTGAGCCAGGAGAATCGCACCTGGGAGGCAGAGGTTGCAGTGAGCCGATATCGTGCCACCACACTCCAGCCTGGGCGACAGTGAGACTCCATCTCAAAAAAAAAAAAAGTCCATGCTTTATAATTTGTAATTATGGGCTAAGAATGAGATAGCATGTGGCATAGGAATCAAATGTTCATTCACTTAAGCACCTGTGCTTTGATGTAGTGTGTATCTCAAACAGGCGTTCTCACCCTTCTAAGGGCTTCGTAATGTGTCAGAAGGAGGCCATCTTAGAAGACTGACTTTAATTCATCCTAAGTGACCTAAAGTAAATGCATGTATTGCTTTCGTAAAATTTTTTAAAATAAAACAAAATACTAAGGCAAAGATCAGAAAGAACAAATATATCTGGGATATTGAAGACGTCTTTGTTTTTAATCAATAAATATTTATTGAGTGCCTACTGTGTGCCAGGTGCACCACACTAGATGCAAGGGATACTAACAGTAAATAAGATACGGTCCCAGCCCTCAGAGCTTACATTTCAACAGTTTAAAATGCATCTCAGGTATTTCAGATAACAGAAGTAATTCTACCACTCTCAATTTTTTTTTTTTTTGTAGCAAGATACAACACAACCATAGGCCAGAAATAGCATGTCAGAAAGAAACATTTGGTATCATTTTTCCAGGTCCCATTTTACAGAAAAGAAACTGCAGGAGTGGCCACTTGCACCTATGTTCTAATTTCAAGTTTGGTGCTTTTCCCATTGCCAGGCCTCTCATAAAACAATATTCAGATTTGCCATGTAAATATCAATATCCAAACACTGGTAGCATACCTATGCAGTTGTCTCCTGCTAGACAAGGACCATATAATTTACGGCTTGTTTAAGTGTCCACTCTCTTTATCCCACCCTATTCTTTGTGATAAACCAGAGGGATGAGGCTTAATCAAGTGCTGACCTTTGGGGCAAGTTCATGCCCTGGGATTCAAGATGGCTACATGCCAGGTCTGCCTGCCAGGACCTTACTTCCCATTTTCTGCAGTTTTCCTGAACTGCCAGGAGGCAGCTGTACAAGCTTTACAAGCCTCAGGCTGTAAGTGAACTTGTTTTCTGTATTTTCCAGCCATGTGCCACTGACCAGAAATGAACTCAACTATAAATTGCAAAGGGGCTACTTGTCAAGATGACAAATATCTATCGTACTATTTCAACTATGAACATACTTCTGAAATGCCATATGCCAAGCACCACACCAGATACTAGGGACATAAATATGAAAAAGTCTCTGCCCCTCAGGAGTAATACTGGTTGTACTGCAACACTTGTAGCTGAAAGAAAATCTCCAAAAAAGATTTCAGAGACTAAAGTAGGAATGGGTGCTGGAGAATGAGCAAGAAGGGTGAGAGTCCCACAGGTGAAGGGAGAAAGCTGCAGAGAACGAATATAAGCCTGGAGAATGAACATAAATGTGAGGGGAAGAGGTCAGAGGCCAACACTGGAAGCACAGTGAAGGCCAAGAAAGGAACTACTAATGTTTCCGAGACCTGCGGGGATCCATGGTATTAAGCTCTCGATACCAGCACCTAATTTCTTAAACGCTGGTTTTCCAACTTAAGTGAAAGAAATTCACCCGTTTTTAGCAATTAATGAAGCACTATATTTACTTCTGTCACATTAGTTAATTCTGAGGTGGACTGGGTAATTTGAAAAGCTCCTTTGAACATGAATTGTTTTTAAACTTACAATCTAGCAATAAGCCTAATTTTTAAACCAGAATGCTTCATTTCCCCCTGTATAATCAGTAAGATTTTGATTTTTAACAAGTTTACATGTTTGAGTGTAACAAGTTTACATTCAAAAAAGACCAAATATTGGACATGGTAGATAAAAGGAATGAAAACCAGTAAAGACACCTTTTATAACCTGAAAATAGATTTTTAAACCTTCCTTTCCTTTAATGTGAAATTTTCTCTTTAATGTGTTATGAATTCCATCAAATATAACCATTTAGGATTATTTATAGTATGTCACTGATCACTTCTACTAGTATAGACAAATAAGTTTATAGACATTATTTTGAATGTAACTGCTTTAATTAGCATAATTTTATTAAAGAGTTAGACTGTGTTGTCAATACTGACATTTTTGGGAATATATAGTATAGTTTATAAGTCAGGCTTCTGAACCAAAAGTTTTACTTTGAGCCTTATTCCCACCTTACTAGCTAGCAGGTGACCTTGGGCAAGCCAACCTGGGTCCATGTCCATACAGTGAAGACATCATAACCTGTCCTACCTACTTCACAAGCTTCCTGTACAGATCAGCTAGGTCAACGTAAGATTTTTTTTTGACAACTGTAAAGTACTATAAAATGACAATTGCAGATAAGTCAATGAAGTTAACCATGAAAATAATATTCATGCCTAGAACCAAAAGCTTTTAAACAAAACAGCTTAATAAAAAGTGGTCAGATAAGCAAATAAAGATTATATTATACACACTATGTTCCTCACCTACTCTACTGAGTCTAATCTTTGGAAAGATAATTCATTTTAAGGGGGAAAAAATCTGTTAAGATATTTTTTAGTATTTATACAAACAAGCTGCAACTACTATTCAAAAATAGGTTTTTTCATCCAATAGGAGTACATTCTTTAATAGAACTGTATTTGAATAAGAATTCCATACAAATAGAATATATACCTTAACACAAGAAAGCAAGAAAAGAATATTTTACATTACATAGAACATTCAGGTGATTCGATCGAATTATCCCTCCAACCAAATATTTCTTTTCCCTATTTACCACAAACATTGCAGTCAGTCAGTATATGCCAACAATCATATAGTTTTAACATCTAGTAGTGTGAAGTACACTTGTCTGTTTCCAAAGGGTGATGTAGTCTTCGTTTCAGGGGAGAAGAACGGACTGAATTACTGTCTGCTTTTTAATGTTTCAACTAACCTGTAAAGAGAAAATGAACTGTTTTATAAAATTAACTTTCAGGCATAAAGCATGATCATCTATAATAAACTTTGTATTAGAGGTGGATTCCAAAGTACTTAAACACAGCTAACATAGATGAGGTTATGCACTACATTTCCGTAAGGTTCCTTTAAGCTTTGAATTTGTCTGTGATTTGAATGAAAAATTCAAAAAAGACCAAATATCTATTTTCCAGGCTACTACTACTTCTGGGCTACATATGGATGACTCAGAGGTGAAACTAGTCTCAGTCCTCAAGGAGGTGATTATCTAATGAGTAGATGAACAAATCAAACAATTACAAGACAGCATAACAAGTACTATGTCACTAATCTGTGACAAGGGCATCTAACTTTAGGTGAGTGGTTAAGCAGTAGGAATAGAGATACATTAGGAAAAGCTCTTCAGAAGACAGCCTGAAGCTAATTCCTGAAGGATAAGGAATTGGAGGGTGAGGTGAGGCAAGGAAAAGGCTAAAAATTGGCAAAGAATTGTAACTGTCATCAGGTAGGTGTGGTTGAGAAGACGGATGCACCTGAAGACCAGTGGGAGAAAAGGCTGGAGGAACTTATGAAATAAACTGCTAAATAAATCAAAGTTTCATCCTCAACACTGGAGAAAAATTACACGTGGACGTGCATAGCTGCAAGCACACAGAAATGCACAGATAGCTTCTGGAAACATGATACTTGCCATTCCATTGCCTCATCAAGGCCAGTGCCTTTGGTTGCTGATGTTTTGAATATTTGCCATTTTCGGTCCTTCAAGGCAGGTAACCCAAGTGAATTTGCCATCTCTGAGGAAGTCATGGCCTGTTCCATGTCCTGTTTATTTGCAAACACCACTAAAATGGCTTTTCTCAGCTCTTCTTCCTAAATGAAATTGAAAATATTTAATTTCCTTTAACCAATGTGCTCTCTCGAATTTAGAAAATGTCCAAAAATACATTTTAAAAGTGTATTTTATAATTATTAACATATTATATTCATTATACATTATGAAATTATAGAGAATTATAAAGAAAAGAAGCTTCACCCATAATCCTACCTCCCAAATATGATCACTGTTAACATTTTGGGCGTTTTCTACTAGTACTTTGTTTTGCAGATACTTAAGAGCTTATTTAGTAAATACATTTACACATTTAAGATCAGATTTATATATAGTTCTATACCCTGCCTAAAAATTAAAAATTAAAATCATGTTTCTCCAAACTATAACAATTTTTTCAAAATAAAAAAATGGCTAAATATGCTCTACACTATGGATGCAGCCACCATAAACTGTGTTAACTATTTTCTAGTATTAGACTCTTATTAGATTCTTTCCACTGGACTATTAGAGAAACCCAAGTGACAGGGTCTTTATACAAAAATGTTTGTTTGAATCTGCTTTCTTAACACAATATTCTAAAAATGGAGTTAAAGTATAAACAGCTTTTTTCAGGCTTTGATAAACTGAATACATGCATGAACAGCTTTCCAGAAAGGTTACCCTACCAACAGTGTATAAAAGTCTCCATCTTCAATGCAGCCTTTGCAGAGTTGGGAATTATTTACTTTTCCAAACACAGCATCTCATTATATATTATTGGGTATTCGAAATGCAAATGGGTTGAGGCAGGAGAATCGCTTGAGTCCAGGAGTTTGAGACCAGCCTGAGCAACACACGGGTCTCTACAAAAATTTTTTTTAAAAAATGAACAAAAAAGGAAGCAGAGTCAGGAGCTCAAGGGTTATAATAAGCTTTGGTTGCGCCACTGCATGCCAGCCTAGGGGACAAAGGGAGACGCCCTTATTTTTTTTTTGTTTTTGAGACGGAGTCTCCCTCTGCTGCCCAGGCTGGAGTTGCAGTGGTGCAATCTTGGCTCACTGCAGCCTCCGCACCCCGGGTTCAAGCAATTCTCCTGCCTCAGCCTCCTGAGTAGCTGGGACTTCAGGCTCCTGTCACCACACCCGGCTAATTTTTCTATTTTTAGTAGAGATGAGGTTTCACCATGTTGGTCAGGCTAGTCTCGAACTCCTGACCTCGTGATCCGCCTGCCTCAGCCTCCCAAAGTGCTGGGATTACAGGCATAAGCCACCACACCCTGCTGACCCTGTCTCTTTAAAAGCAAATGCAAATGTTATTAGCAATGTTTTCCCCCTATGAACTGCCTTTTGCTCATTTTGCAAAAGATCTTGCTATGATTAAGATCACTAATCCTTAGTCATTGGTTTCTGGTTAGGCCTGGTTTCTTATCTTAATCTTGTTTATATTTGCCATATCTGAGCTTTGGGGGGGACTGTTTACGTTAATTAAATCTCATCTTTTGAATTCCTTATATGTTCTTATAATTTTCATTTTTTACATTTAATTATTTACCCATTTAGAATACATTTTTGTGTATAAGAAAGTTGAAAGGCCAGGCACAGTAGCCAGGCACAGTGGCTCTCACACACCTCACACTTTGGGAGGCCGAGGTGGGTGGATCACCAGGTCAGGAGTTCAAGACCAGCCTGACCAACATGATGAAACCCCGTCTCTACTAAAATTACAAAAATTAGCCAGGTGTGGTGGTGCATGCTTGCAATCCCAGCTACTCAGGAGGCTGAGGCAGGAGAATTGCTTGAACCCAGGATACAGAGGCTGCAGTGAGCCAAGATTGCGCCACTGCACTCCAGCCTGGGCAACAATAGTGAAACTCCATCTCAAAAAAGAAAAAAAAAGTTGAAACCTAAACTGCTTTTGTGTCTATACTATATATTTTTAATTTTGTTTGTTTTGAGACGGAGTCTCACTCTGTCACCCAGGCTGGAGTGCAGTGGCACGACCTGAGCTCACTGCAACCTCCACCCCCTGGGTTCAAGCAATTCTCCTGCCTCAGCCTCCCATGTAGCTGGGATTACAGGTGTGCGCCACTACACCTGGCTAATTTTTGTATTTTTAGTAGATGTGGGTGGCCAGGCTGGTCTCAAACTCCTGACCTCAAGTGATCCGCCTGCCTCGGCCTCCCAAAGTGATCGGATTATAGGCATGAGCCACAGCGCCTGGCCTGTGTCCGTGTTTTAACATTAACAGTCCTAACTCGCACTCGGCCCGTACTTAACATAACATGATATTTATTGATGAATTAAAAGTCACTTCCTAAAGAAAGAATCCAACTTTTACTTCTTTCTCTGTAAGACTTTATAAGTCAAATCCTAACACTGCAAGTAACCCAACAACAATCCTGCACAACTCAAGAATTGTAAACTGAAGTCAACAATCCATTCCTTTTAAGCAATACTTTGTATGATAAAAATATATCATGTGAATTACACCTAAATAAAGCTGTTCTTTAAAAATCCCATTATA